GCAGAATGTGTTTTGGGGTGTGGGGGAGAGAAGTAATCTAAGCTTCTCCTCAATAGTAAAGGAGCACTGAGGTGCAGAATCAGCACTTATGTATCTGTGTCACGTTGTTAGCCAGTAAAAAGGAAAAGTGAACTATGCATTGGAATCACATCTTGCCTGGCAATGCAATGGCTTAGACATCCTATTAATCTCACTGAGGACTGTTTAAAAAGTTCATGAAAACCAGTGTCTTGCTAGGTGATGTTGAAAATGCAAGGTGCCTCCTAGGACATCACAGCAGCTCCCTCTCGGCTTCATTTTCCTATTTTCCAACTTCCTAATGTTATTTTTCAGTGCCTCCCTGTAGGCTTTGACCATGAGGGACTCCAGCCCTAGTTACTAAAGCACCGAGTCAAGCAGCTTTCCCTGCAAAGCCCAAAGGAAATGAGAGTGCTGAGGAGCATTCGATCTCAGAACTGTCTTGTACAGAGGCAACACTGGAAGGACTTCTCAACTTGGGGGAGTTCTCTTCGCTATTCATAACATTTAGGTAGCAATACTGCGCCCAGTTGCTCATGCATCTTGTGTTGAAGTTAATGGGATTTATGCCCTGCAAAGCAGATTTGAATAACTGCATGCTTATTTAATGCCAGCAAAGGACTGTTCTGTACCTCCATGTTTCTCAAATGGAATGGCAGAACTCCCGAACAGTATTCAGTAGCTCAATCTCCTCCTAACCACTCCAGGCCAGTATTTTAAGCAACTTCCTCAAGTTCACGTCTCAAGGACCATGGAACTCCAGCCAGCACCTAAGCCATCTTTCCTTGTTTTGTGTTACATTTGAGCAGGTTCATGCTCTTTCCTTTTTTCTTAAGAAAACTGACAGTGATGCCTTTGAGAAGCCTTCCTCTCTCTCCTTTGCATGACCTGAATTCAACTCCATCCCAGCACAGCAAAATAAAATAAAATGCTGGACTATGTTGAGAAAGTCCATCAAAGACTGCAATCCTATTAAACATACCTGGGAATAAGTCTCACTGAACTCAGTGGGACTTACTTCCGAGTAGTCATGTGTGTGACTGCACTGTAAAACACATAAACAGAGAACTGCAAAGTTGGCGCACCATGTCCCTATTCAGTAACCACAGGCTGGCTTTCAATCCAAAGCCCTTTTCACCAGCCACTGCATTTATCTGAAAATAGAAAACTGAATAGTAAATACAATTCAGCCAGAAATCTTTTTTCCTTTTTTCTCCTAAGGCAGTCACACTGAGTGACTTTGTCTTTTGCAGACCTACAGTGTCATATACTGCTCAGGTCAAAGGAGGTCAAGTTCTTGCCTCAGTCCCAGAGTAAGCATTAGCCTACATTACAAAATGATGTCATAATTTAGCTGGGGGGAAAGCAGTTCCTTTTCAGGAGAGGCGAAAGACTTACAACTCAAACTAGGCAAAACAAAATAGATTTCAATGGGCTAAGGAATGCCTAACTCTGACCACACTGTTAAGAGTAGAACGGCTCAAGGCTGAGTAGTAGTGTTTAACTATCAAGTGATCATCTCTGACCTTAACCACCCTCATTTTCCATTATATTTTTACCAGCCACCTTCACTCCTCTAATTCTACCCTACTCGAGCCTTGCGTCCTCTTATCTTTGTCCAAAATGCCAAAATCATTCATCTTTCCCACTGTTCAATCTGTGCGACATTCCTTCTAATTCAGGGGTCAGCAAACTTTTTCAGCAGGGGGGGCCAGTCCACTGTCCCTCAGACCTTGTGGGGGGCCGGACTATATTTTGAAAAAGGAAAAAGAAAAGAACGAATTCCTATGCCCCACAAATAACCCAGAGATGCATTCTAAATAAAAGGACACATTCTACTCATGTAAAAACACGCTGGTTCCCGGACCGTCCATGGGCCAGACTTAGAAGGCGATTGGGCCGGATCCAGCCCCCGGGCCTTAATTTGCCTACCCAAATTCTAATCCTTACTCTGTTTCCTGCCCCCTTGGGCATCCAGCACATTTGCCTTGCCTTACATAGAAAGCTCACAATGACTCTGTCCCACCTGATCTTTATGCCCTTATCTGCCATTACATCTTTGCCAATCACCTTCACTTCTCCAATTCTACCACAGTTGTGCAAAAGTCTCCTGCTCTCTTTAACAAACCGCCAACTCTCCCATTTGTCTTGCTATGCCAGAGTTGGGGGGGAGAATTGGGCCTTCCAGATGTTGTTGGGACTCCCATCACCACTGACCCTGATCAGAACTGGGAGATGTGTCGAAAGCCTTGCTAGAAAATCTCTAGTGGAACAGCACTGGAGGGAAGATGCTGGTCAATTCTGGATCCAAATGGCAGAGCTAGCTGAGAAGGGGGCTGGCAGTGCTAGGCATGAAATAGCAAACAGGTGTATGTGTGCACTGAAAGAGAACTGCTTGTGTGAAGTCCAACACCAACTGATCAATACACATTTAAAGAGTGATGGGGAATGATGAAGGAAGGACAGGTCTACATTAACACAGGAAGTTTGTATAGAGATGTATTAATGGAGCTACTAGATAGAAAAAGTAACTCAGTAACAGACATTTCCTCAAATACATCAAACCTTCACTATAAATATTAAAAAGGTAAAGGTACCCCTGCCTGACAGGGCCAGTCGTGACCGACTCTGGGGTTGCGTGCTCATCTCGCTCAAGAGGCCGGGAGCCGGCGCTGTCCGAAGACACTTCCGGGTCACGTGGCCAGCGTGACAAAGCTGCATCTGGCGAGCCAGCACCAGCGCCGCACACGGAAACGCCGTTTACCTTCCCGCTATAAAGCGGTACCTATTTATCTACTTGCACTTAGGGGTGCTTTCAAACTGCTAGGTTGGCAGGAGCAGGGACCGAGCAACGGGAGCTCACCCCGCCGCGGGGATTCGAACTGCCGACCTTACGATCAGCAAGTCCTAGGCACTGAGGTTTTACCCACAGCGCCACCAGCGTCCCTTATAAATATAAATATTAGGTAGCGTCAATTCACTAGCAACATCAGCTACTAGCTCTGCCCATAGAACTGCTATGGCCTTACACATACTTCCTACTACTGTACAGTAGGAAAGCAATATTAACTACACTGCTTCAGACACACACACCTTTCCTAGGGACTTCATTCCCAGGCAAAAATCCTGGCATTCTTATATAAAACCTTTTCTTCATCATCATCATCATTATTATTATAGATTAATCATCCTGGGGTGTTCCAATGATCCTTAAAGCATATGAGAACTACCATCCCTCAGTAAAGATACCTTTCCTATTTTAAAAAAGTGGAGGAAATAATCCATTTAACTGTCTTGAAGGGCAAAGCAATTAGAGCATCATAACTAAGGCTGCTAAGTGATAATGCGAATGATTCAGAAATCCTGAACTTCGGTGAGCTGTTGATACTTGAGTTTTTTTCTCTCCCCCTCCACCAAAGATACATAAAATGTGGGGATAGAAACCATAGCACTAATTAGCTACATCTACACATACAAGCGCTGCCGCCAACTATCTGTGATGCATGCAAAGATGTAAGAAAAGGAGGTCAAAGGAGACGTGTGGTTTTCCTTCTCGTTCCAGTGAAAGCAGGAATGCTGACAAGATACACCATTGACAGCTGTTCCCACGCATAGACTCCATAGTACAAGGGATGATAGAAAACACCCACTGCCTCTGACACTGTGGCGTACCTGCTACCTATCTTAACACGAAGTTCATAGGAACAGTTAGGGAGAGAAACGTCTGTTCAGTGGTAGAACCAATGGCCTTGTATGCAGAATGTCCCAGGTCCAATCCCTGCCATCTCCAATTAAAAAAAAAAAAAAAGATCCAGTAACAGATGATGTGATGACAAAGTCAGTGTAATATTTGCCTGAAACACTTATGTGGAAAGCCACACCCCTTACTTCCTAGCTCTCCATTTCTACAGCATCCGCTTGGCTTCACCTGAACTGGCTCTGTTCCCAGTTTCTGTTATGCATTTCCATTAACCTGTTGCATATTTATATACATATATTAAAAGCACACCAGCATGCTTACAGATATGTGAGGATTGGATCACTGCAATAGGCATTCATTGGGGGTGGGAGATCACTAACATTTCTACATGAACAGTGCAAGGAAGTGACCAAATAGCACATGCAACATCCCACACTCTGAGCAACCATGCCTCCTTCTATACCCCTTTGCAGCCAGAGTCCTAGATAACTCAGTCCTGCAATTCTCACCAAGAAGAAGCACAATCACCACCTCACAGCGAGTAAGAGTTGCCTACTCCAGATAGGTTTAGTCCCTTCTTCACACACTTCAGCTATCCTTTTGCAGATAAATTCGCCGTTTGCAGACTCACACACAAATCATCCCAGGTTAATTTAACGGTACTGTATCTAGACCATCAGTTACCATCCTCTGATTGGTTCAAGACTCAACTAGGGGATGAAAACCCCCAAATCCCTCACTGGCATGAAAAGGTGGCACAAATGCACCCTTTCAGCGGCTAAAGTGTGTCAAGAGGCAATATATAAATCTGCGCCCAGAGATTCCTAAAGGTTGGAGGGAACATACAAAGTGTATCTTCTGAACTGTTAGCAACTGGCAGCGCAGTGTTCCAAATGAGTTCATCCTAAACAGTCAAATGAGCCAAGGCGAAAAGAACGACCCAGACACCCGCCCGCCCCACATCCCCCCCACCCCACCCGCTCCCAGGCGTTAGGGTTTTGCAAGTAAGGCGACGGGGGCCATCCTGCTCTGCTCCCAGGGACCCCCGAGCGCGGCGTCGGATAGGGAAGGCGACGGTGCGAGCGAAAGATTGCGTACCTGTGTATGCAAAGCGCCCTGGCCCGCTTAGAGCCGGGGTGCAAGCCAAGCCCCGTGCCGGAGCGGAGGGAGCCTCATCGCGATGCAATGAGCGTGCCATGCAAAGCCGGTCACATGCAGACGGTTACAACGTGTTTTGCAAAGGGCCGCCCGGCGAGGGCAGGTAGCTCGGCTCTGTCCTCACCTCCTCTCGGGCCCCCTCCGCCTCCTCCGGAGGCACCGAGGCGCTGCTGCCTCTCTCGCTGCTGCTGGCCGCGGCCGCCGAGGCTGGGGGGGACATGGCGGCGACTCGGGGCTTCTCGGGTGGGCGACCAGCAGGCGCGGCGGCGAAGACGGCACATTATCCCGCCACCGAGAGCCGACGAGCGCCCCCCGCGCGGTCGCGCCGGGGCTGGCGGTGGCCGGGCAGCGGTGGGGACCCGGGAGCCGTCGGCGCCCCCGGCATGGTGTCCCCCAAAAGCCCGGAGCACCCCGGCTGAGGAAAGGGGGTTGGCGGGCGAGGAAAGAGCCGAGCAGCGCCGCGAGGGGACCCTCCACGGCGGGCTGCCGCTGCCGCCCAAGTGCCGGCGACGGCGGGCTGAGGAGCTGGTGGTGGCTTCGCGCCTGAAGGGCTCCCGGCAAACCTCACGCAGCCCGCCGGGCGCGCACGCAGCGAGCGGGAACGGGCAGGGTGGGGAAAGGGGCGGGAAGCCGAGAAGGCTGGCAAGGCGAGGGGCGCGGGGTGTGGGGAGGAGGAGGAGGAGAGGGCAGCACTGGGAATGGGGGGCTCGGCGGCGGCAGCGTAGGAGGAGGGCAGCTTCGTTCCCGCGCGCGCCTCTTTCCCCTCTGCTGTGCCAGGGAGGGGAGCGAGTGACCTTGAGGCTGCGGAGCTCCCTCGCTCTCCCTCTCGCGCCCCCCTTTGTCTGCCCGGCTCTGTGCGCGGTAGGCGAGGAGGAGGAGGAGGAGAAGCGGCAGCAGCCAGTCCCTCGCGCTCCCTTCCTCTCTGCGCCCTCCTCCTCCTCCTCCTGCCGCCGCCTCCCCCTCTCCGCATTCAGATCCACCGGGAAAGTGGAGCCCCCTTCCAGGCGCGCGAGAAAGAAAGAGACGTGCTCTTCACTCCCGCAGCGCGGGAAAGATCCAGCTTCTCCTCCGAAACCACAAAGCCTCCTGGGAAGGGAGAAGGCGAGGGAAGAGAGGCCTTGTTTCTGCGACAGTAAAGGGAGAGCTCCGAACGTGGCGGTCTTTTATTTCTGGGTGCAACTCGGCCGGCCCCCCCTCTGCTGCACCTGTCAAATATTCAGGTTAGACTTTCCCAAGAATAAGAAGAAGTCCTAAGCGCGAGGCAGCCGAGCCACGCAAGACAGAAGCATGTCTCGCCCCGCAGAATTAGCTCGCACGCTAAATCAATGATTCCGGCTCGCGGCAGACAATTAACGTGCCTGTCAACGGGATGAGAGGATGAGTCTCGAAGGCTCCATTAGTGGCCAAGATGAATAGCCACCATGGTGCCCAGATGTAAATACGTACAAGATGGAACTAGTGCGGAATGATCGCGGGGGGGGAGGGGAATAAATAACTGCCCCCACAGGAGGACGTCGAAGAAGTTCTGGAGAAAGTATATCTTAGAAGGAAAACTTGGAACGAATTGTTCCGTGTTACTAGGGCTTCTGCACTTGGAAATATTTTTCACAGATATCAGAAGCTCGTGGCTGGGCATCCTTCTCTAGAACATTTCAAAGTCTCCCCTCAGATATGTGGTTATGAATGAAAGTGGTCCGGGCCGGGCAGGCATCCTGCTGTGAAGACTTTTCTTTGGTCTAGAATGGTCAATTTGTATGCGGGAAGCGATCAATTTAACTTGTCCTGTACATTGCCCATGAAAACATGAAAGAGTAATGTGTGGGTCATGTGTAACCACTATTGTTGTAGCTTATTAGAAAACCTCATATTCTATTGAAAATAAAGAGAAAGTTTGTGGTTGTCACATTTGCAGAGATATGTTCAAAAACGTGATGGTGGAAAATGCTGAAAGAAAAGGAAGTGTGCTAAGACTTCAGGAATGGGGAACCTGCGGCTCTCCAGACAGCATGGCCAGTGGTCAAGAATTATGGGAGTTGTAGTCCGATAACATATGGAGGACCACAGGTTCCTGTTCCTTTTCTGAGTCAGGACTCCAAGGACTCATGTTCCAGTTTCTACAGCCATGAAGCTCACTGGTGACCTTCTCAAACTGCTATCTCTCAGTCTAACCTAAATCACAGGGTTGTTTTAGGAGGGGGAAAGAAAAACATACGGCATTTTCGATGAACTTGTTTGGAACAGTTTGAGATTTGGCTTTTAGGAGGTAGGAAGGAGAAAGTAATTCCAATTAAAATCAGCGCTAGGAGTTCCAGTTTTCACAAGCTGAAGTTAGGACCTGGCTTATGCTCATTTGCCTTATTGTCCCAGCAAATGTACAACCTAAGGCACCTTTCTAGACTTCATGACATCAGCTGAACTGCCAGCTTTCTTTTTAATGGCTCTGTTCCTATGAGTTTAGCAGCAGCCTGATATGCAAAAACAAAAAACAAAAAAACCAAGGGTTTGTCTGTCTTTGTAATCCTATGCACTAAGAAATAAATCCCCTTAATCACATTGGGACTTGATCACATTGGGCCAACACAGTCCAACAAGTAGTAGATCTACCCAGAAAGTGTTGAGGACAATTAGGGACAACTTGCCCCAGGTTGCACTTATGTAGAAGTCCTATGGGGCTTAGTACAGTCCATAAGTAGACACTGAAAGAGCAGGAATTTGCAGTAACAGACTGAAGGAGCAAAAATTCAGTAGGCTGTACCTAAAAGCTCAGCACTTGCCTTTTCAACCAGAATGTTTTATAACCCTGAGTGAGATCGATAAATTCTCCCCATCATATCATTTTCATTTCCTTTGAAGGAACCTAGGTAACTATGCTGCCACATGAGCCCTTAGCGCAAAATAGTCCCCTTTCCATCTATCAAACCTGGCAGGTTTCTAAGTAACCTAATAGCCAATCAGTCCAATGGTCCAACTAAGCATAATGTCAGCAGACTATGTACCCCCAGCAGAAAAGTTGAGTGTAAAATGACAGCACTACTAACTACAGAGAATGTAACAATTCTGACAGCCACTCTCCAGCATCCACAGGGCAATATTCCCAGCATACACCAGCTAAGGAATGGCATGCTGGTGATGCCTCTACATCACACAGGGTTACTAGACATATGGAAGCTCTATATGCATACAGCTGTACATACAGAGGCACCTTTCATGTCTGGCAGAAAGCAGGGATGTTGTCTTCTTCGGGTGGAGCCAAAAGGCAGGACATGAGGAACCCCCAATCCATGAGCCAAACCACCAGAATTCCTCAAATGGCTCATGAGACCATCTTTCCTAGCCGTGCCCACCTGTCCCACACCTGATGTCATATGGTGTAAGAGGTAAATCTGCAGCTGCAAAGGAGCAATTTGGGACTCGAGTGCACTCCTGATTGTCCCTTTTCAACCAGCAGATACCAAGCAAGTCCCTGCGAGCACAATTGCACCTATTTGCACTATGCATTTGGCACCTTTTAAATTTGGCACCCAATACAAGCTCTGTTGGGACTGGTTCCACTTGGGAGTTCACAGGAACTCCTGAGTAGAGCCCATCTCTGTCAAATGCATTTGGCGCTGAATTTAAATCCAAGCCCCACTGGAATCAACTTGGGTTCTCCTGAGTGGAGCTGATCCCTGCTGAAAGCCAAATTTCAACAGCACCATACCCAAGCCCTGCTGCAAAGGAACAATCGTGAGTGCATAGCTAAGAGTGTGCTCCTGGTTGCTTGTTTGAATGGAACTTGCACTTGGCAGCATGGGTGTAGCCAGGATTTTTGTTGGGGGGAGACAGACCTTTCGTTGGGGTTGGGGCAGAATCTCAGTTTGCTGTGTGTTTTTATTGATTGGGGAGCAGCTGCCCCTCCCTGCCCCCCCCTGGCTACACCCATGTTTGGCAGTGTTCAAAATCCCTCCTTCATTCTATGCAGTTTTCATGATGAAGTCAAGAAGGGAGCAGGGGGCAGGAGTGGCGGTCAGGCACTTTGCAGTTACCAAGTTAGTAATTGTGGGCACGGTTGCTCCCATTTGCACTATGCTGGAAACCCCAGGCATAGACATCATATCAGCTTTACTTTTGCTTGAGTTCATTGTATTTTTCTGCCCAGGACTATTCAAGTTTGTTTTCTGCTGCCAAATTTAAAATTTGCAGCCATCTCCACAATGCTGTGCTTTATTGTATACCAAACAGCATAGTAATAGCATATTGAATTATTAAGACTGTAATATTACTTTCATTTTTTTATGTCTGCCACATCTTTCCTTCCCCTTCTTCTTCCCCAAGATATATATACTGGGGTGTGTGTGTCCTGAGGAGCTGGTAGACATCAAAAGGTTCTCCCCTGGAATGTAAGGAATCCCATCTCCCTCCATGAGCTTCTAAAATGCTTCTGTGCATTTACTCCAAAACTACAGGCAGCAGTTTTCTCTCAAAGGCAGAGTACAAGCAGTTGCTTGGTTTCCTCTATGGGCTGAGTAGGCCCTGGGATCCTATTTATTTGGATATTACTCATTAATGTGTGGTAGAGCTGTAGCAACTACTCTGCAGCGGGGGCTAGTCCACCCACCACCACCTGCCTTCAGCCAGCTCCCACCAGCCTGCCTTCTTACCTACCATCTGTCCAGGGTGGTGCCAGCTGTCAGCTTCCTCCTCCTTAGCTTCAACATTGCCCTTGTAGCCCTCAGCAGGGAAGAGGATGGGGAGAAAACAAGAATTAGTTGGCTCTGCCTGTCCTTGGCTCTGGCTCCACCTACTGTTGGGCTCCTTGTCTTCTGCCCTGCCAGCCCCAATGGCCACCACTCAACCAGTGCTACTTTGACATAAGCACATCAGCGTGAAATTTGATTACGGTGGCTTAGAATGTAAGCTTGGCATTGAGGAAGCGGATAAGCACTTCCTGTCCAGCTTGAACATCTCCCAAGTTGGCAGGATGCAAAGGCTGTGTTTCTGGTGGTAAGTTCTGGTGATAAGCAATAGGAAGAGTGGGTTCCTTGCATGTTCCCATGTATCAAGCAGTTAGGCAATTTTAGGCTTGGAACGGTCTTAAGGGTCTCCCCATTTTAAAGGTGAATGAGTCTTACTCCAAAATGGGGTAAGCCAGATTCCACCTCTGTATTTGGGGACCTCCAACTTATTCCCTCTTGTGCCCCCAAGTTCTGCCATGATGGCACCACTGGTCTCATGTAATGTCTGAAGTTGCTCTAGTGTTACTTAAGATGTACTGTGCCATAACTGGAGTAGTGGCGGTTTCTGTTTCATGAACATCCCTCACCCCCACCCCCACCCCCAATGAAACCAGTCTCACCCTATTTTGCAACTCCCCATGTATGCATCTGGTTGGTTGTTGCAGCAGCAGCGGCAGGGCTCTTCTTCCTGTCTCATTACATATGCTAATCTGCATACTATCCCTTACTTTTTCCTGTAGGACTAATTGCAGTCATTAACAATCCTCAACAGGTTTACCATACCCACTGAATCAATCAGTCATCTCCTACTATACTCCTGAGAAAAACCCCACCCTCCCACTATATATAAAGGTCTGGTGACTTCTGTTTCAGTGTATCTGAAGAAGTGTGCATGCACACGAAAGCTTATACCCAGAACAAACTTAGTTGGTCTTTAAGGTGCCACTAAAGGACATGGGTGGCGCTGTGGGTTAAACCACAGAGCCTAGGGCTTGCCGATCAGAAGGTCGGTAGTTCGAATCCCCCGAACGGGGTGAGCTCCCGTTGCTCGGTCCCTGTTCCTGCCAACCTAGCAGTTCGAAAGCATGCAGTGCAAGTAGATAAATAGGCACCGCTCCAGCGGGAAGGTAAACGGCATTTCCGTGTGCTGCTCTGGTTCGCCAGAAGCAGCTTAGTCATGCTGTCCACATGATCGGGAAGCTGTACGCCAGCTCCCTCGGCCAGTAAAGTGAGATGAGCGCCGCAACCCCAGAGTCGTCCACAACTGGACCTAACTGTCAGGGGTCTCTTTTGGTTAAAAGGGAAGCTCACTGCAAGGGGACTGGGAAGGAGACGACCCGGGGGGGGGGGGACACGACCAGAGCACATCTGGATGTAAATACTGTTCCTCTGCACAGCATTCTTTTTAAAGGGGTGTGAATCCCGATGTGAGGGAGTGTCAATCCAGTTACCCAGCAACAGGGAGGAGTTTTTTCCTTCTCTCCTTCCTCCACAGCAACCTGAGATCTTTTCCACTGATTGCAAGCTAACAAAATGCAGCAAAGAGCTTCCAGAAGTATCATTTCAGGATTATTGCAGATGGTAGGCAGGGTTTCTGCCATGCCCTACACCAGCAATATCTTTTTCTCTCCCTCCCTCTTGTGTTACTTTTTTTTTTAAACAGGAAGCCTGAGGAATAGAGTCCTGTGAAACTCAGAAGCCAGCTCACTGGGATCTTTTTTTTTTTTAAAAAAATGAGTCTTACTAAAAGTGTAATGACAATGTCCCTGTAAGGATTTCTTCTTCAAATCAACCAATATCACCTCCTGCATTTTTGTTCCCTTTACAGGCAATCTCGCCATTATAAGGAAGGAGGGGCTTGACTTCATCTCTGCCTTCCCAGCGTTTCCATGGGAACAGTAGCAAGCTGGAGGAGCATATTCTGAATTTCACAGCCTGCCACAAAGCTGCTCTGCTTCACCTAGGCAGACGCAGCCTGGATCCTCTGCAAGAAAGAGGGACAGGCTTTGTCCTTAAGCACCCTGAGATGAAATCACTTGCGCACAAACTGAGACTGAGAAATGAGGACAGCTGGGCAGGGTTCATTTGCTAAGCTGACTACATGAGATGTTTCCCTAGAATCTCCATATTTTAAATAATTCACATTTGTTTGTGTGCATTTAAAAAAAAGGGGTTGTTGTTATTGAAATATTGTTCTGTTTCACTTTCGGTGGCTTGGGGAAACGTGCTTTGTGTCTGAAAACACAGCAAAAGTGGAAATGCCATTGCAATTACCCATTGCACTAACATTTCTGAAGTGCTTTGATGGCATTGTCCCTCCTTGCCACTGTCCCTTCCTGTCATTCACAGGTGCCCTCCACAAGTGGGGAACCTGTGATCCTCCAGATGCTGTTGACAGCATGGACATTGATCAGGGATGATTGGAACTGTAGTCCAACAGCTCTGGGTTTGTTAGCTCTGTGAGGGTTAAACTACAATTCTTTGGAAGAAGCCATGAGCTTTAAATAAATGGTGTGTAGAACTCAGGAGGAGGAGGGTGGGGAGAAAACTAGAATTAATTGACTCTGCCTGCCATTGGCTCTGGCTCCACCTACTGTTGCCCACCTTGCGTTCTGCCTCATCAGCCCCAATGGGCACCAGCTGGCCATACTGGTGTCTCCCTGACAAATATCCTGCGTAAAGTTAGCCTGGGGACCATAATCTGGTCACTTGAATGCACTTTGAATGGTTAGGTAAAGGTAAAGGGACCCCTGACCATTAGGTCCAGTCGTGGCCGACTCTGGGGTTGCGGCGCTCATCTCGCTTTTTGGCTGAGGGAGCCGGCGTACAGCTTCCGGGTCATGTGGCCAGCATGACTAAGCCGCTTCTGGCGAACCAGAGCAGCGCACGGAAACGCTGTTTACCTTCCCGCTGGAGCGGTACCTATTTATCTACTTGCACTTTGACGTGCTTTCGAACTGCTAGGTTGGCAGGAGCAGGGACCGAGCAACGGGAGCTCACCCCATCGCAGGGATTCGAACCGCCGACCTTCTGATCAGCAAGTCCTGGGCTCTGTGGTTTAACCCACAGCGCCACCTGTGTCCCTCTTTGAATGGTTAGCACAATCCTAAATATGAGCCCATGCTGAAGGAACAGGACTTTATGATGAATCCCACCCCATACAAACAGATCCCTTACTGAGATCTCTTATAGAAAGAAAAAGCAGTCAACTGCCCTGAATATCTGTGTCTTATGTGCTGTAATATGAAACAGGTTTTATACTGTTTCATATGTTCCATCGTTTCCCTAGTAACACTCTCACACATGTTCTTGCCGAATTGCATGACGATATGCTCTGGCACTTGCTTTAATAGATGCATCTCACTCCTTGTCAAGCTATACTTGCCAGCTTTGAGGCCATTTGTTATGCAAACAGAAATGCAAAACCTAATTGGACCCTGAGCTTTGTAGATGGGGCTCTTTGTTGGTAGCAATAATCTTATAATAGCTTATCAGATCCTTGTGTTACAGATTAAGGGCACACCTACTGTATAGGAATTGCTACCAGTTCCTAAGCAGCGTATGCAATCAAATCTCTATACATCATCGCTATACAATCAAAACTATGGGGAAATAACACCATTAGCAGATGCTACTGGTTGAAACTAGCTTTTGAGCCAAGCAGGAAAACAACAGAAGGATAGGTGGTTGTGGTGGTAACAAAGAATTGCCCACAAACATAAACACCGACATCAGAGGGACTGCTACTTTCCAGATGTGCCTCTCCCCACCCTGCTACATCACCACAGCTATGAACATAAGAGCCTAGAGTGAATCATGCAATGACCCATCTAGTTCAGCTAAGTTTAGGCTCTGTATCTTAGGCTCTGTATCCTCACTGTCACCCTGAAGATCTGATGTGAGAGCAAGGGACCTTGGCTGTTGTTGGGTAGCTACTTTCACACTGGAACTTCTGCCTGCTCAGAGAAGTGTGGCGAGCATCATGAAATCAAATCCGATGCCTGGTCTAATCCTTCCTAGGGAGAGAGCTGAGGTGCCACAACCAAAAAAGGCCCTATATCAATCCACCACTTGCTTCACCTCCGACAGCAATTGGGACCTGGAAAAGGATCCTTTGTGATTCTTAAATTTATGGGGCAAGCTCATATGGGAGTGGGAAGTCCTTAAGGGGCCTGGGTCCCAGCTTGTTAACACTTCCTCTATGGATCTTAAATGAGTGATCAACGAACATACTAGATAGGCCAGCTAGAATATAATGTTCATGAATCCCCATCGCTGAGCTGCAAAGCATATTAATACCCTGTGTTCTCAAAAGGCAGATCTGGCCTATGGGATCTACCCAACCACATGGCCTCTTTCCACCCCCCTATGGGACCACTGCAGTAAATGTGGCCAGCAGAAAATAAACATGTTGGAGAAAAAACACCAGTGCTGAAAGGCCTCTAAATGGCATAAGCACCAGAAACAGCTGGTTACCTGGGTAACCCAGCACAGCGCATCACTTATTCATGGAGCCGTGGTGCGATTTGGCCTAGCCAAGTCCTTTACCTTCAGGGATAGCTGCCTGCTATATCCACGGCTTATCATTCCTTTTCATCTGGTTTATTCTTTCAAGAAACAGATGTGTCTACCTTTCGTTACTAAAGCAGCCTCTGCATTCCAGAGCTCGGTACCCCTGCTTCCCTTATATTTCTTGACCCTTTACGAAGACCTAAATATTAAGAACTTCCCATGGGTTTTAGAGAAGAACCAACCATATGAGATATCTGGGCTTGGTAGGTAAAGAGGGGACAGAGCTACTAAATATAACCCCCCCCCATGGGTAGACATGGGACATGCCCACTTCTTCACTACAGTGGCTGGTTCTTCCATGGGATTTTTGCTTTGTGGAACATTTTGCTGATAAGAGGCTGAGCATGTCACACGGGCCATAATACACACTCCAGGATCCCTTGCAACAGCAGAGATCCAAGGCCCTTGCTGGCTGGTGCCAAGGAAACAGTGTAGAATCCAATGTCAGTATTTCCTGACATCCTTCTGACATCACAGGCAAGGTGTACTTGCAGCCCAGGTAGTACTGCTACAGATATTGCAGGACTTGTGCACCAGTGTTCTTGTGATGTCCAAAGGATGCCTGTGTTTCATATTGTGAAGTAGTTCAAAGACACTGGGCGTAAGCGAAAGGTAAAATGCTGGTTCCAGGTTGCTTAAGGCACATCCTGGAGATAACTTCCTTCCCACTTGAATAACTCACATCAGTTCCCAGAAGGAACAGTAAAAGGGGAAAAACCTAGACATGGATTAGTGGAACATTAATCTACCTCAGATAGTTTGTTTCCCCCCTCTCTCCCAGAAAGATTACCTACGCTCAGTAAGATTACTACTCTCAGCATACAACAGGTGCAGCTAAACAGAAGCTGATACCCTGGCAGTATAATGTAGGTGGTATTTTGTGGTTTATATTATTTGCATTACATCCATACAGAACTAATACGAACCTCCATCAGCACAAGGATTTTTCCTTGCACAATGGAATGTTACTCCTCTCTTTTCCCTCCCTGAAGCCCCCCTAAATTTGTTCTAGGGTTCCCCCAACCCTTTAGAGCAGATTTATGCATGGAAGGAGGAGAGTGGGAAGATGAAGTCCTGTTGCACAAGTAGAAGTCATTCTCCTTGCACAAAAAATAACGCCCATTATATCTTTCCTTACAATGGTATATGATGAGCACATTTGGTGATTTGGTCATACTGCCCTGCATTGCAATATCTTAACAGCTGTGTTGTTTGAAACATTCACAATTGTTTACTATGGTGCTAATACCCTGTGTTCTAGTTACTGCCAAACAGAGAAGCCACTTACACAGACCAAGCAGTTTTCGACACGTGTAGATATGGGTGAATTTGTCTCTTGCTCTAGGATGAGGCGCCATCTGCTGGTCCTCAGCAGTCTTCTCTAGTCTAAAGCTCATTGCAACATTTTCATTCTTAAAAATAGAAAGGGAAACGTGTGGTAGGCAGGCCCTTATTATTTGCATTTTTACAGATCAGGAAGGGGAACTGAGTTTGCTAGGCCAGCTCTGTCCTTCAGGATCCTCACAGAATCATAGAATTGTAGAGTTGTAAGGGATCTCGAGAGTCATTTAGTCCAAACCTCTGCAATGCAGGAATCTGAAACCTTTTTTTGTGAATGCTTGTCTGTCCACAACATAAAGGAAAATATAATACAAAGTGGACCATTCTTTCCACAGAAAGTCCTTGAGGGTCTTGACCAAAATGGTAAATAACTTATTTTATAATTTTCTCCTTGGGATAGGTCTTTAGGAGCTTCCAACTAAATATTAGGAAGAACTCTCTGACGGTAAGAACTGTTCAACAGTGGGACAGACTACCTCAGAAGGTGGTTCATTAGAGGTTTTTGAAGAGGGATTCAGTCTGCCTGGGATTCTTTAGCTGTGATTCCTGCATTGCAGGGAGTTGGACTAAATGACCCTTGCATCCTTTTCCAACTCTACAGTGGAACTCTTATGATTATTTGCTTTCTCTTCCTAGCAACCTCATTACGAAAATCCTTCTGCCTTTATGCCAACCTTTAACCGATCGAAACAGTAGCACAAAGGGTGGTATTCAACTAAGTTTTACTCAGAGCCGACCCGCGGAAATTAATGGGACTACCTTAGCCATGTTAATCCATTTCAATGTGTCTACTTTCAGCAAAACTTAGTTGAATACCACTCTCTTCCTTTGATTTCCAAGAACTGGGTTTTCATTTCCCGATAACCTTGCCGGCACTTTTGGTTTCTATTCTTGGCCATCCTCACTACCTGCCCGTCAAAAAGCCAGAGCTGGATATTGCAGCACCCCCAGGCTCCTCACCTAAACACAAAAAGCCAACACAACTCCTTTGTTTATATTATCATTGCATTTCCAGGGTTTCCTAATCTTGCAACTTGTACAGAAGCAGCAGCATTTGATCAGAACCAGCAGAGTCCAGCTGAGCTGCCTGCTGGCCCAGGAAGGCTCTCCTTGAGAAAAAGGCAAAGTTGGAGTCTGGCAGTCTGCCTCAATTTGAGACTAGCTGGCTGTGAGTGTGCCTGTGTGCCTCAAAATAAATAGGATTTATTTAGGATTCCAAGGAAGGGGGCAAGCAACCCCCACCTCACCAATGGCTGTCTCACTCCATT